GGCCCTTGTGCAAGGCCTCTATCCTGGTGGTGGTAAGAGAACCACCGGGATTGAGGCTTTGCCTGGCGGGCCGCTCCATCTATTGGTGGGGAGCAACACCTGCTGGAAACCGGGTCCAGCGTCCCTTAATTACATCTTTTACAAACTAGTACATCTTGAAAGTGACGCCATTGTGCTGGAAACCGGGTCCAGCATCCCATATCCCCTGCAGCAGGGTCGGGTATTGGGGGGAGAAACACCGGGGGGCACCAGTGGAGTCTCCCTCCATCCCCTCGCCCCTGCCATCCGCCTACTATCCTCATGGCGCCTATTCTGTCTTTACTAAACATTAAACTCTTCCCTGAGAATGTACTGAGTATGTACTGAGAAATTTATGCCGAGAATCGGGCTCAGCGTCCCATAGGATAAAAAACAGATAGACAGGCCCCGTCCCGGCATCCCTTAACTTTTTTGACTCACAATGCGTTATTGGGAGCGACACCATTGCTGGAAACCGGGTCCAGCGTCCCATATCAATTCGTTCTGCCAATCCTCCCTTGCAGCTGGGGGGCAGCAGTGTAACTCCCTCCTAACCCTAGCCCCTGCCAATCCCTTATTTAACCCTCAAAGCGTCTGTCGAGTCCATAGGCTTGAACAGGGCAGGGGTGAACAGCCCAGCAGGAAAGACAGCACACGGCGGGAAAACAGCAGAGGGAACAGAGGAAAACAGAAGGAACAGAAGGCAGAAGGACCGAAGCAAGCGGAAATAACAAACAAACAGAAAAACAGAGAGAAGCAAACTGGGCTAGGCCGGTTTTCATCGGACAGGGTGAAACTGATCATGGGGGGGGGGGACTTCTTCCACTAACAATGGGTGGGGGCGAAAGGGATCTGCAAATTCTTGAGCAGGGTGTAACCTCTCGCCGGGCTCGAGATTTGTCCACTCATGGAAAACCAGTTGATAATCTCTTGCTATCTCCGTCCTGTGGCCTTCTTGCAGTTCTCCTCCCTGCTGACGATCCCCAGACCATCTTACCTCCGCCACCCATCCTTTCCTTTCCCCTCCCAACCAATCCTGACTGAATCGGGAGATGATCCTGTTGATGTCTGGCTAGGAGTTCATTTGATCAAGTTTATCTCTGGCCGCCTTCCACTGGGCGGCAATTTCATATTGGAATAACAAGCGTAGTTGTTCTGTGACTTCACCTTCTTCGCCCCGTGCCCCTTCTATTTCCAATATGCATTGTTTCCACCAGATGACCCACATGACCGCCCGCCTGCCCAAATGGAACATGTTCTCCTTGAATGTGCCTCCCCGAATCGGGGGATAATGTCCTAGTAATATAGCCCTCCATTCCCATGGCCATTCTGCACCGGGGACAATGTGTCGCCAGATCTTGTCCCAAACCCTCCAGAGCAAAACCGAAGCCGGACATTGGAGAAAGATGTGTTTAATTGTTTCAACCTTTTTTCTCCCTGGGTAGCTCAAAAGACAATTGTGGCACCAGGGTAATGCCCGGTCTTCCTATTCCAAGCGGGTATGGTCTATCAGCCAGTCATTTATTGGCAGGCATCGGTGTGCTATTTGCCACTGAAGGGCCGAAATCTTAGCGGGTTTATTCCTGTAGTGAGAGAACCATCGGATAGGCTTGAGCAAGCCGCGGTCCACATTGAGATGACAATACCACCTATCCTCAACTGTCTCCCGCAATCTTCGCTTGGGCCGGAGCATAAGGTAGGCTGATTTAGTTTTTAGATTATAGAGTGTGAGTTGTTTTTTCGGCCCTTGCCTAATCGTAGTTTCCTGGGACCAGTGCCACTCGTCGGGGTCAAAGGGAAGTTCCTCAATCGGGGTCATTGGGCGGTAGGCACATCGTCCTCTGCCGTTATCCAGAACTCTGATGCGATATATGTTCGTTCTGTCCTTCCAGATGAAGGGACACTGGATGCCCCGTAGTGTACCATCCCTTTGGACAAAGAAGATCTCGATTAGTGTCTGTGTTAGGTTGACCATGTGTACTTGCCCAATCTCCTTCTCGTGATCGGGTAGGCCTACCCAGTCTCCTTCTCTTAATTGAGGGCCTTTTCGAAGGATGCTATACCACTGGAGAGGGAAACTCTCGATGAGTTCGTTTAGTGCTGATTCCGTGTGATGGCAGTAGCGAGCCATGCCCGCATCCTCTCTGCACTCTTCCAACATCTTGCCTCTACATCCCACAGATCCCCTACCCTACTGGCGCCATGTTTAACCCAGCCTTTCCAAGGGGTATCAGAGTTGCATCTTACCTGGCCCAAGGTGTCCGTAATCAGACGATTCCCAAACAACGATTGTCTAAAAATTTCTTCCCATCGATCCGGAGTTGGTCGGTCGGGCGCCGGGAGCTTCCTCCATGTGCGTAATAAGCGCAGCCAGTGCGTGCTCGCAGGGTCCCCATTCCTGTCTTTCCTTGGGAGCCTCCAGTATCTGTCCTGCAGCCATACCAGGGGGTCGGTCTCCGGGGGGGCTTCTGGCGCCAGGGCGGCGATTTGCGCCAGGGTTAGGGGGGGTCGGGGGAAGACGGAGAAAAGATGATATGCTGAAACCAGCGAAGTGTAAGGGTCTGGGATTGTGTGGCCGGGTCCACGATTCCCAATCCTCCTCTGGTCTTGGGCTGAATCACTGAGTCCCAGGCTACTCGACTAATTGCGTGGGGGGCATTACTGTCCCCTCTCCAAAGGAAAGTTGCTAGCTGCTGTTTTAGTGACCTAAGCCCCCCGTCGCTCATGGGCCATACAATCGATTTATACCAGAGAGTGGTCAGAACCACGTTATTAATGACCAGAGCCCGCCCAAATAACGACGTGTGCTTTTTGTTCCATTGTTTCAGTTTGGCGTTTGCTGGTCCTGTCAGCCAGTCATCGTTGGTCATCGGCTTCCCTTTTGCTATAATGAGGACCCCCAAAATTCTCAGAGGGTCTTCCAGGGGGAGCCATGTGATTCGCGGATTTTCGGGGGGCCTTCCTCCTTGGTGGTGCATCCACCAGCCTACCGTCTTCTGTCCCCAATTTACTGCCATATCGGATAGCTGACAGAAGCGGTTCATAAGATTTTGGATTTCTTCCATGTTCAGGTCTGTCGCTTCCGTCATTATGGTGAGGTCATCAACGAAAAGGGAGCAGATCGGTACTGCCTCTTCCGGGATATTAGTGATCTTGATGCGAGAGAGGTTTTTATTGTGTCTAAGGTTGACCGAAAGTGCTTCCATTATTGCCAAAAAAAGATAGGGAGCGATGGGGTCCCCTTGTCTTATAGACCTTTGAAGCTCAAAGGGGGGCGTTATCGACCCATTGACCTGCACGCAGGTGGTGGCGTTATGGTGAAGGATCCTAACCCAACGCCGAAAGACTAGGCCAAAATTCATTCTTTCCATACATTTGTCCAGGAATTCCCAGTCCACGTGGTCATATGCTTTTTCAAAGTCAATAAATATGATGGCCGCGTTTGCTTTGTTTCGTTGGGCTAGCTGAACCACCTCATTAACAAGCAGGATGTTTTCTTGTATATTCCTTCCGGCCATAAACCCTGTCTGGGCTGGGTATATGACGTCTTCAAGTACAGACGCCATGCGGTTTGCCAGCGCTTTGGAAATCATTTTGTAGATTCACCGCAAGATTAGGTTGAGGAAGTCCAGTCTTCAAGGGTTACTCGAGGGTTAAAAAAAAAAAAAAAAAAAAAAAAAAAAAAAAAAAAAAAAAAAAAAAAAAAAAAAAAAAAAAAAAAAAAAAAAAAAAAAAAAAAAAAAAAAA